GCAGGGTGGTCAGAATGCATAATCTAATGACAGTGTGTGCAAGCCACTACAGAAGATGTCAGGAGCACTGCCAGACTGTGTGGTGGGCTGACTGGCTGATTTCTATGCACAGTCCACCAATGTTTTCCAAGTATGGACACAGCTCTTACAGAAATGAAAATAGAAAATGCAGGACCAGAGCCCACACTAAAAATTCAGTTTAGCAAAGACATGAAACTGCCCATGGAAGTAAAAGGTATTTGGCCTTGCTTTTCTTAACAGGGAGAAACGAATCTTCATACTGCAATCTTTTTACGATTAGGATAAAAGCCTGTCAGTCTTTGCAAAAGAACACTGAGCTGATGTCTGTGTTTTCTGCATTTGCTTTCTAGGGCCTGAAATAATGCTTTTCTGAGCTATTGGATTTGTTTGCAATTATAGTGTTCTGGAGATTATGAAGAATCAACAAAGATCAGCAAGAAATGGATAACTAACGCAATATTTAAAAATGATAACAGTATAGTCATCAAAAGGCACACATTGCTTCTTCCTATCTACACTCCTTCTTCCTACTAAGCAAACTCTCTAACTTTGAAATTACTGGAACATCACAGATGAATGAGGAAACACATTCAGACTACCTGATTTCAGCGAGATAGTGTCTAGAAGGGACCAGTTGTAGTAAGTAAATTTTACCGAAGATCAGAAAGGATGTAGAAGAAAAGTGATAGGTCAGTGAGTTGGGGTTTTGGTTTTTATCCTATGTATTTTAATTCTGTGGGCTCTCCAAATTCTCCTTTATGTTGAGAAGATGGTAAGGAGAGCTATGGTAAGGGCCATGTCTAACTGACCTCTTATAAAATGGCAGGCTGCCGAAAATACATCTTGTATGAACTACACAGCCTTTGCTCTCAAGCCCCACCTGGCCCCATCACTGTGGAGCATGGCCTAGCTGATGGCATGATATAGCTGGTAGAATGGGCCTTGGTTCCAGTATTGGTTCTACTGCTCATGAGCTGCAGAACCCTTCAAGTACAACAAAGAAGTAACATCTTGGCTCCTTCCCTGTTGTAAGGATCAATGAGATGATAAAGGGAGAAGCACAAAAAACGTAAATTATTTGAGTTCAGTGCATGGTAACCAAACTGCCCTTATTATTCCCCATCCCCCACAATAGTCATCCGCTAACTCATCTATGATTTCCCTGGCTGCCAAGTTACCCCTGGTTTGGTCTCCCACTAGCTCAGGCATACTCAATATTATAGCACTTAGGTTTTCTTTTGGTAGCTACTGGTATTACCTGGCTTTTATCCTACTTTCAAGGATATCCACTTAGCAAGGTGTCTCACTATCCCAAAATAAATGGTACTCTCCAATTCATATTCTCTCTATGTCATATTCAAGGGGGTCTTGAGCCCATTCCCGGAAAAACAACTCTGGGTCTTCTGATCATTCACCACAGAGGCAGATCCCAGCAATGAGTGAGTTGAGGAAAAGAGTGTGGGTCCGGGGCGAGGGTGGGTAAGTGGGAAGGGGCAGGGGCAGGAGAATTAGTTAGGAAATTTCTCAGTTTGAGTCAAGTAGGAGATCAGTGTCAGAAAAATAAAGTCAAGACACAGAGCTCTAGTTTGGGTCAAAGAGGAAAAGGGACGTGTGGGGCAAGAAGAAAAGTCCCACACTTCCAAATAAAACAGCCAACTAGTTTTGCCACCTTATCATCCCCTTTCTTCCTATCTCCTCTACATCCTGGTAGTCCCTGCATATTCATATTACTGCATATTCAAATGACCTGGCAGCTTTTAAAAATGCCCAGGCTGGACCTCAGACTAATGAAATCAGAATCTCTGTTGGTGGAATGCAGACATCACTAGTTCTTAGAGTTCCAGGTGATTGCAGTATCAGATAAGAAGGTGAAAGCAGCTCTGATCCATTTCTTCTCTATTCACCCATCCCCCATGACACATAGCTAGAGATGTTACCTGGCTGAATCCCCTACTAATGCAGCAGGAGGCAATACATGTGCTTTGTGGTAAAAAAGACCTGATTTCAAAATTGGCTTTGCTATTCACAGATACCTGCCCTAGTTTCATGACTTCTCTGAGCTGCGGGTTCTCATCAAGAGAGTAACAGGGCTTTATGACAGTGAATGTAAAGATACAAAGAGTAGATTCTCAATACGTGTTAGTACCTTTTTTTTCCCATAAATTCAATGTCATGGAGACATTCTCCATGTCCTCAAATTATTGCTTTTTCTCATGTCTTAGGAAAGCTCCCACTCACTTAAAGTCTAATAATTTCAAGGTTGATCTCTCTAGGTATATTTGCTTATTAGCCCAAAGTGATATGGAATTAGTAGGACTCCAGGAGTTATTAAAGACATTGATTTCCTGGATTGCTCTGTGGTGAAATTCAGGTATGATGGTTAATTTTATGTGTCAACTTGGGTAAGCTATGGCACCCAGGTTTTGGCCAAATACAAGTCTAAATGCGGGTATGAAGCTATTTTTAAATGTAATTTACATGTAAATCAATAGCCTTTGAGCAAGGTAGATTATCCTCCATAATGTGGGTGGGCCTCATCCAGTCAGTTTAAGGCCTTAAGAGCAAAGACCAGTTTCCTGAAGAAGTACCAATTCTAAACCTCTGTCTCTGTCTTTATATCTATCTATCTATCTATCTATCTCCTATTGGTTCTATTTCTCTGGAGAAGTCTGACTAATAATACAGCAGGGATCCTCAGAAGGGCTTCATAATAATGTTTGCTATGCTCACTTCCTCTTTTTCCTCCACTTCAGAGAGGGATCAAAGCTCTTTCCCGTTCACCTTCCCAAAGTTGGTGATACATTCTACCCCCTACACTTAGGTCAACTTAAGAGAAATAATTTAGGATCAGAAACTAGGTACTGTGATGGTATTTAGCAATTAGGTTTCCTTAAGATTTTGTAAATGCGTCTTTCATGAATATGAAGGGCCATTTATATGAACTACTTGTTTATGTCTGAGTAGCACATTCATGATGTTCAATATCTTGAAATGTGTGTGGTTAAATTCTGTAGCTATCATTTGATACCTAGAATATCAGAGTCCTCACGGTCTTTTGCACATGTCATTTAACCAACTCCAAAGTTTAAAAGTATTAGAATCCTCACTTTTCTCCCAGTGAGAAGGCTGGGCAGAGTTTAGAACCTTCTGGTCACCAGAAGAAGTGAAGATAATAATAGGAATTTGGGGGATAACGGAGATATTTTAGTCAACATCTTTTGGTCAGATATGGAGAGTACCTCTTTTTTTTTTTTTTTTAATCAGGAGTTTATTTTCTTCTAAAATACATATATTGGATAATTTAAGGGAGAAACTAAAAATGAAATTAAATGTGCACTGGTGAAATCTTCAGTAAATGATCCCAAAGTTACCAGGACAGGAAAGAGAGGATGCTCCTTTCAGTCAATACTGGTATTAACTATTGTGTGATAAAATAGTTAATTTTAAAATTCCAGGTAATTCCAAAGACCTAGGAAGTCTGCTTCTTCATTCAGCATTATTAGGTTCCTACTGACTCTTACTACGACGCAATGTTGTGAATAGTAAGCATATTATTAAGTGGTTATCATCACAGGCTACCTATAGCCAGTTAATATAATAAATTTAAAATATGATAGACATGTACATTGAGGAAAACAATAAAATGTGTTACCTCATGTTTTTAAAAAATCGAGATAAGCCTTTAACAGAATAAAAGTAGCTTAAATGGCACTGTTTTACAAAAATGTGCTTCTGCTTATCCCATAATCCTTTCAGTATTTTCCTGGTAATTCAGCAAACTTCTTAAAACTGAACAAAATTAGGATTTTGTGCTTCTATGTTTACAGAAAGAGCATATCAAACTGACAAATTTGATAATCTTAAAAAAAAAAGAAAGAAAAAACTGTTCTTATTTCAAAGGTCCAAAAAATAAGGGTTTATTTACTATGCCGACCTAGACTTCTTGTTGTTTTTAAGATAGTAAATTAGAAAAACATGGCCAGAGTTAGAGGTTACTCAATCAGGTTGAAGCTGGGACTTTTATTCCAGCAGCTCCTGTTCCCCAAATTATATCTGATAATGTTCTAAGTCTAAACATATTTTAGTTCAAAATGATACTCCGCTCTTAGATATAAAATGTCACTAAACTTCCAAATATCAACAGGTTTACCTACCCTCCTCAGCTGGTGTATTTGTATTCAGAGTAATCTGCCACTCAGTACCTCTGAATTGTAATATTTGAGGAACTGAAACTTTGAGCTGGTATGTTTGTTTTGTATTTTCCTATGCATAATCACAGGATAGGAACATTAATAAAGGGGTTGGTGTATTGGCCACTGCAGAGGCCTATGATTTAGGTAGAGTCATGGCAACAAAGCAAAGCTGAATGTGTGCAAGTGTAAAATAGATCTCAGCCTGTATTGTGTTGAATAGAAGAGAAGACAAATGTGTCAAAAGACACAGGAGTAAAATATCCAAAACTGTTTGAAATGATCATTTCTCAAAATTCAAGAAAGGTTCATGATAAGTACTCCCTTACACCAACTACAAAAACATTATTATCTGGAAGCAAGATGGCACCTGTAAACTTAAAATTGGCCAAGTTCCTTTGAACTATATCTCAAAGAGAGGAGGAAGCTTGAAATGGTAGTGATCTGAGGATGTCCACGTGGGTTGGCAAGCATATGTTGCTGCTAAGCAGAGGAAGTGGTACACCAGGATTTCTTCATACGCGTGAGCTCTTTATAAACTCATCCTCATGAGGGCTGTTTTAAATAGAAAGAAAATGACACACAGTCCCCGACTGGGCTTCCTAACTGTTTGGAAAGAGTTGCCACTTTCCCCAAACGTTAGGTTACTGTGGGGGAATTTTCCAAAACTGTCAACAATTCCATTTTTATACTGGGTTCTTCCTCTCCACATAAGACAGATGCAAGGCGGCATGAGCTATATTTGGTCTTGTAGGAGACGTAAGTTATTTTTACTATGCTGACTCCTACCTGACAGTGAAAGACGTATTCTGGTGTGGTTTTCTTAAACTTCATGTTCCAGACCAAGGCCACTCCATCTGGTTCATGGGGAGCATCTTCATTGTTGTTGTAGGAAGCAACCATCAGCTCGGGGTACTGGATAGAAAAGGTCACAAGGATGAATTATGTCAAATTGCCAACACAAGGAAACTTCCTTATTCCTACAGACACATGCTATATTACATCATTTAAATGACACTGTTTTTAAAATATAATTTATTGTCAAATTGGCTAACATACAGTGTGTACAGTGTGCTCTTGGTTTTGGGGTAGATGCCTATGATTCATCGCTTGCAAACAACACCCAGTGCTCATCCCACCAAGTGCCCTCCTCAATGCCCATCACCCATTTTCCCCTCCCCCCCCCCACCATCAACCCTCAGTTTGTTCTCTGTATTTAAGAGTCTCTTATGGTTTGCCTCCTACCCTCTGTGTTTGTAACTATTTTTTTACCCTTCCCTTCCCCCATGGTCTTCTGTTAAGTTTCTCAAGTTCCACATAGGAGTGAAAACATATATCTCTCTTTCTCTGACTGACTTATTTCAGTTAGCATCCAGTTCCATCCATGTTACTGCAAATGGCAGGATTTCATTCTTTTTCATTGCCAAGTAGTATTCCATTGTATATATAAACCACATCTTCTTTATCCATTTATCAGTTGATGGACATCGAAGCTCCTTCCATAATTTGACTATTGTTGAAAGCACTGCTATAAACATTGGGGTACCTGTGCCTCTGTGAATCAGCACTCCTGTATCCCTTAGATAAATTCCTAGTGGCGCTAGTGCTGGGTCGTAGGGTTGTTCTATTTTTAATTTTTTGAGGAACGTCCACACTGTTTTCCAGAGGGGCTGCACCAGTTTGCATTCCCACCAACAGTGCAAGAGAGTTCCCATTTCTCCACATCCTCTCCAGCATCTATAGTCTCCTGATTTGTTCATTTTGGCCACTCTGACTGGCGTGAGGTGGTATCTGAGTGTGGTTTTGATTTGTATTTTCCTGATGAGGAGTGACGTTGAGCATCTTTTCATGTGTCTGTTGGTAAATGGTACTTTTTTTTTATGTTGTGGCATACTTAATACCAACGGCTACTTCAGCCTCTTACAATCTGCTGTCTGTTTCCAGTGTTCCAGGTGTGCTTACCACAGTCACCGATAACTACCAAACTGCACACATTACGGGATCTCTCTGCATTATCTGACATTTGGGCTGCTCCCTCCTTTCTCTAATATTGGTTTCCATACATCTTTCTCTCCCGATTCTTTTCCTCACCATTCTTTTTAGTCGCTATAGGTTCTCCTTCTAATACCTATATTCCAGTGGGGCGGTGGACTGTTTTCTGCCCTTTTTACAAAACTCTGTCCATACATTCTCCCTGGGTGATCTCATCTACTCCAATGACTTTAATAAGCTTTAAAATGCTGACAATGTTCAAATCTATATCTCTAGCCTTGATTTCTCTCTCAGCTACAGGTCTTTTTCGCACTGGAGATTTCTCTGAGCTACCCACAGACACATCAGATACAATGCATACAAAATGCATAAGAATGAGCTTATTGCCTTCTATAAAAACCTCTTACTCTTCTACTGTACTCGCTTTTTGGTGCCTTTTATCTAACATTCACCTAGCTGCCCAAACCAGACACTCCATGTTCATTTTTACTTCCCATTTACTGTGTTTTACTACTTCCTTAAAACCTTTCAAAGGCATATTTTCCTTCCACCCTTAAAGGGAGGATCTCCTAAACTAATTTCTTATCTGAATACAAGCTACAGCTGCCTAAATGGCTTCCTTCTTGCAGACTTTCCAGGCCCTACCCTCACCACTCCATTCTCCATCCTTTGTTAATATGACTTTACAAAACATACATTTGGCTAAGTCACTCCTCTGCTTAAAAAACTTTAATGGCTCATCATTACTCTCAAGAGAAAATCCAGGTCATATAGAGTCTTTCATGATCAGTCATTTTCCACCTTCTCTGCTTAATCTCTTACCACCTGCCCTCCCTCTTCAACCCCCACACCCTCATGGACTAGTTCTGGGGTTCATAGGTATAGCCTCTATGCCTAGGAGTTTAATACTCACTCTTACTAGAATACCTCTTATGTGTTGTTTCATTAACTCATTCTTTAAAAAAATTTTTTTTTAACATTTATTTACTTTTGAGAGACAGAGAGTAAGCGGGGGTGGGGCAGATGGTCAGAGAGAGAGGGAGACACAGAATCAGAAGCAGGCTCCAGGCTCTGAGCTGTCAGCACAGAGCCCGACACGGGGCTTAAACCCACGAATCGTGAGACCATGACCTGAGCGAAGTCAGACAATCGATGGAGCCACCCAGGCGCCCCTCTTTTTTTTTTTTTAAGCATTTATTTATTTTGAGAAAGGGAAAGTGCATGAACAGGGGAGGAGCAGAGAGAGAGAGGGAGAGAGAGAGAATCCCAAGCAGGCTCCACACTGGCAGTGAGGAGCCTGACGTGGGACACAAAACCATGAACCGTGAGATCATGACTGGAACCAAAACCAAGAGTCAGATGCTTAACTGACTGAGCCGTCCAGGCACTCCTGACATTAATTCATTCTTTAAAATTCAACACATGAATCAAGTCCTTCAAACAATCCTAACTTTCTACCACCCTTCCTCATTTCTCATAGGCTCCCTTAGCATTATTGTGTGTTCCCCCATTAGAGCACTTGTCAAACTGTACTATGGTGTTTTCCCACTTATGTCTCTTACTAGTTTGTAAGCTCTCTGGGTGTAGGGACTTATTCTTATTAACTTTTAAATCTAGTATCTTGTAACCTCTAGCACATAATCAACTTGTGTCAAAATCTGTTGAAATACAGATGCTGTTTTTATTTTAGTGACTCTGTGCTCAGTAGAAAGACATATTTAATCCTTTGTTGTCAAATAATGTCGACAATTAAAAGCATAAGTGCAAGAACCACAATGAGTAAAATAATAAGGACTCTAAAGTGAACAGAAATACCTACTTACCCTGTGTGAATTCTGTGCTGTGTGTGTAATTAAACAAGCTGGGGATGAATCTTGTGAAGGGTGTTTATGAGTTAGAATCCATTTCATGAAAATGCCATTCCTACTTGGCATTCCCATAAGGCGGCACCATTAAAAATAGCATCAGGATTATAGCAGATTATATCACTCTTTGCTCATAGATAACTTAATTTTCCATTCTTTCTCACTATTATATATATATATATATATATATGTATGTATATACATACATATATTTATATACATACATATATATGTACACATACATACACATATACATATACCCACACATACATCTTCTATTAGAAGATGGTCCTTATAACTTTAAACATCAACTTTTTTTCTATCAAAAACAATTAAACCTGAGTCTTCTAGGTGGCTTTATTAATTTTGCAGCAACCTCAGCTTAAGAAAGCTGCAGGAAGTTACAATTGGTTGGTGCGGAGGAAGTATAATCCTACAAGACACATGTATGCAGCCACCAGGGGAAGTAATCATTCTTTATTAGAAAACGTTCCTCAGTGGCTGAATCGAAAGCCCATTAGGAAAGGCCTTTGATTCAAAGCCCATTCAAAGAAACTAATATCCAGATAAACACAGAAGTCTCCAGGTTGTCCATCTGAAGTTTAACTATGTCACATGTGAAAGGCAACTCTATAAACACCAACAGCCCTGCCACAGTGACCAATGAGCAGCCAGATGTGTCTGCAATAATATCCCACAGCTTCACATCTGGGTCTCATAGTTGGCTCCCACTTGTAGTTTTTTTTCTTTTTTCCATTAAAAATAGTTAAAATCATTTGGCTTTAAAGCTTGTTTTGAAAATAGGGAGAGTTTTAGTAAAATACCAGTGAAATGCCTTTCGTGTAATTTCTATAACTGGCATCACAAATCCCAAAGATACTGATTTAACTTATATCTCATGCAAGCTTTTATGATTTCAAAGTCCCTTCTTATGTGCCTTTTCCCATTGTTTGTTTGAACATGACTAGTCCTATTTTCTTACTCTCAAATGAAAAGCAAATATCTGAACAATTATTTAAAACCTGAATGTTAAAATTATGATGTCAAAGGGAATATGAACAACTAGGAAGTTTATAGTTACTCATCAGGCTGGATTATCCAATCTTTAACCTAGGAGAATTTTACCTGGAGATTACCAGATCTGTTCTCAAGCTATTTGTTCTTACAGAGAATAAATTCAGACATTTATCAGAGAAGAAGGAACCAATATGTTTTCAGGCCCTTTACGTGTCAGATGCTGAGCCGGGTGATACATTTACTCATTGGCTCCTTGCCATCCCCAAGAGCAGAGGTGGTTTTACCAGCCTTACAGATGAAGAAGCCGAGGGTCTTAGAGTAAGTAACTCATTGTGAGTTATGTTGCTAATAAATGAAGATATGAGAGCCTTACTTGAAGTCTGTTTGGTTTCAAAGGCCATGTCCCTTCTAGTCCACTGTGACGTGTCCAGTGCTTCCTACGTATATGTAATTCACTGCACCAGGTGAAATGTGGGACAAGAATGTCAACAATAACATGCTTAGCTCTATAGAAGCTCACCCTTACGTAGAGGGAGGAAAGGTAAGACACATGTATGAATAACTACAATGCAAACTTAAAGGCAGAGCATGATAATGTGCTACAGTGGAAGTGTAGAAAAGGTTCCTTGGAAGTACAGAGGAGGAAAGAACCACCTTAGTTGGGATAGGATGTGGCAGGGAAAGAAACTGGAAAAGACTTCTAAGAAGAAAGGATCCATGCATTGGGCCTTATCAATGGTAGATTATTAGGAGAGAAGAGAAAAGGGAATGTGGGCAAGGGTACAAATATGAGTGCAGGAGATGTATCTTGGTCATCTGCCTGGTTCACAATAATTCTCTCATTTTTGGAGATTCTCTCAGTACATAGGTATCTAACTTCTCAGGGACAATTAGTTCATTGCAGGGTTGATACTTGACCCAGCACAGATCACATCCCCTGAACTGGCTATGGTAAATTTTGAACTGAGATACAGAACCTGTGGGCTGGCATATGAGTCAGGTTATGACAGCATCCTATTGGTGAGGTCCCTCAAGCAGCCTGGATCTCTACTCTTCCCGAATCCCAGTTCTTCTTTTCTGTGGATTTCCTAAGTGCATGGGTGCCTCTCCAGTAAATCACCCGTTTTGCTTACGCTAACCAGAGGTGAAATTTTCTTAACTAACGCAGCATGGAGCACATTCAGGAGGCTTCAGGTTGTTGCATTTGGCTTGGAGGTAGGTTATATGAAGATGTAAACAAGCAGAAAGAGCTGGAAATGCATCTGGGCATCCTCATAGATGTTGCCAAGTACAGGCTGATGATTTTAGACTTTACTTTGGGGACACTAGGAGTTATATTCAGCAACTACTAATACTACTGCCACTACTACTTTCACTGGCCACATTTATGGAGCACTTTTCATGTACCAGATGCTTTTTAAGTCCTACTGCTTTAAGTACATTAACTCATGTAATAGTCAGCAGATGAGCGAGGTATTATTACCATCATCTTATGAATGAGGAAGCTAAAAGTAAAGAGAAGTTAGGCAACTTGCTCAAGGTGATACTGAGAGTTTATAAGTAATCTTTACAAATATTAATCTGGTCAAGTGCTTATAATGGCTCAACAGTATACAGACTGGAGGTAGAAAGACCAGCTAGGAAGCCACTTCCTAAGATAAGCAAGAAGTAGAGGGCATGGCATAAAGTCAGTGTCAAATCCACCTGCTAGTGGACTTGAGCTGGTATCCATGGGAATCTTCTTGCTACTATAAATTTGATTGGATGTGGAAACTAAATGAACTATCAAAGATTACTCAGGTTTGTACCCTGGATAGCTGCAAGGTTGGAGGATGCATTTTACATGGGAGAGGAGTATATATGGTAGGAGTAAGGTCATGGATGTGGTTTTGTACAAGCCTGGAAAAGCTACCATGCAGTATGTGGACAGTATTATTGGCTCACACTGTTCAACAATGGTCAGTGAACGACAAGGCTGACAGAATTGCCCGAGTGCCACTGTTTCTTCCAGGGAATGATGGTTGGTGGATATTTACAAATGTTATAAAGTTAAAGTGTTCTTGCTCCAGAAGCCCAGAAGATCAAAGCAAAGCCGCGCGGAAACCTTACGGTTTCTTCCTTGTTCTCCCCTCTGTTCCACTCAGGTAAACACCCTAGACATATAGGCCACTATGAGACTCTGAGACTGTGCCTCTTGCTCTTCTTTCTTTTCCTTTTTTTTTTTTTTTAAATTTTTTTTTTTCAACGTTTATTTATTTTTGGGACAGAGAGAGACAGAGCATGAACGGGGGAGGGGCAGAGAGAGAGGGAGACACAGAATCGGAAACAGGCTCCAGGCTCCGAGCCATCAGCCCAGAGCCTGACGCGGGGCTCGAACTCCCGGACCGCGAGATCGTGACCTGGCTGAAGTCGGACGCTTAACCGACTGCGCCACCCAAGCGCCCCTCTTCTTTCTTAACATTACTGAATTGCATCCAGAATCATTTAGAAGAGTCTGCATCCCATAACCATATAAACCTGGTCCTTGGAACCCCATAAAAATCTTATGATGCAGGAGCCGAGGATTCCAATTCCTTTTTCTCATGCTCCACATAAAACATGCTTTTCAGAAATGCAAACCTCTCCTCTACCGTGTAGATGAGTAGGTTATACAAAAATGGTGAAAAGTACATGTGGTCTCTCCATGGTAGAGTTTCTGCTCTTTACAGTTTCAGTTCTTGCAAAAGACGATCACACAGACCCCCATGTGGAAATAAATCCTTCCACGGCCAATACGGCCATCACATGCTGCAGCCATGCAGGGCCCAGCCCCGCTGATGCTCTCTCCGCCAACTCCTCAGGGAGCATTACCAACCGGCCCCGGGAACACGGTAGAAGTCACCTTTGAGGAATGTGTCAGATAAGGTTCCTGTGTAATTTCCAGACTCAGAACAAGTGAACAAGCCGAGCTAAGTGTTTCCTCAGGCTTGGATCTGATTTCTGTGCATACACCCGAGCGTGCTCACGGACCACCCACATGCTGGCGGGAAGTGGCTGGGCCAGCCCTGCTTATATTAGTCTCTGCACGATCATGCACTGTGTGCTCTGTTGTTTGCATGTAAAAGGAGGTTCAAGAGGAGAGAACACCGGCCCACTTGGTGGTTGATGACAGTCCAGTTGTGAGGGATTACACTCCTCTTCAGTTCTCCTGTTCTCCAGTAGGATTAAACGGGGCTCTTCACATCATCTGTTTCACAGCTCTGCCTAGAACACACTCTCCTCCCCTCCATTGGTCTAAATCCCAGTCTCCCAGAGAGATCCTGCACTTGCTATCTGCCTCATATCATTCAGCACTTATAACCTCTCTTGGTTCCAGATTCAAAAGTCCTTTGTGAAAGGCAGTGGTAAAGAGAATAGCCCTGAAGTGCAAAGGACTTGAGTTCAAATCCCCACACTACCACATCCTGACTGAGTGACTCTTAGCAAGTTACTTAGCTTCTCTGAGCCTCAATTTCTTCAGTTGCAAAATGGAAATAGTAATGACTGCCTCATCTGAGTTATGAGGCTGAAATAAGGTAATGCCTTCAGAGAAGCCGGCATAGTGTTTAGCACATAAGAAACACAAATTAAAAGTTAGCCATGATTTAAAAAAGAAAAAGCTAGCCATGATTATTATTCCCAATAAAAACATACCCTATAAGAAAAAAGAAACTGTGTTGCACATCCATGCCCAGAACTTATTCTTATTTTCCTCATTGCCATTATATCGTTGTCATTGCAGGAAGGAACATAGCGTGGTTGTTACAAACGTGGGCTCAGAGGTCAGACCACCTGGGTTCAAACTCTGGCCACCTCACAACTAGGCTGTGTGCACATTATTTAACTGCTCAGTGCTGGGTAATTTGTCAAGTAGTTGAGTTGACTCTTCAGCAAAGTGACTTTTGATAAATTTGCCTACTTTCACTCTGAATACCACACTAAGGAGCATAGGATTTTCTCTTAGAGGCAACAGGGAATTTTAATCCAGGGAGTGGCGGGATCAGATTTGCATTTTAGAAAGATTATTTGGCTAGGGGTCCAGAGGGAAAACCATAGATGAACAAGCACGGATGTAGAAAGACCACTTAGAAGGTTAGCATTATCACAGATGTAAGGTGATGCATATGAGTGGAGACAGTCTATCTTGGTGACAGACTGGGTCTGGAAGATTAAGGGGGGAAGTTGCTAATGTTAATGATGAAAGTTCTGCTTTAGGGCCTTGGGTATATTGTGATGTCTTTAACTTAAAGAGAATGCAGTAGGAAAAAAATTCAGATATGTGAAAATAATGAATTAGTGATTACAGATTCTAGGAGACACCTGAGTGGATCTGTCTGGTGTGTAAAGTGGAATTTAGGAGGGGGACGGGTGGGAGATATCAATAGGCTACCATGTAGTGCTTGAATCCACAGAAGTGGAAGAGGTCTCCACCAGACAGCATATTGGGAGGAAAAGGAGAGGCTGGGGGCACGACCACGAGGACCACAGCAGTGTACGAGAAAAAGAAGTTTTGGGGATGTCTGAGAACTAGCAGAGAGTAATGTTGTGGAACTCAATGGAAGGATATTGTTCTTAGAATACGAGGAAGTCAACTAAGCTGGATGACAGAGAAGTCAGGGCAGATGAGGGCTTAAAATAGCCCACAGGATTTGATGGATAGGAAATCCCTGGTGACCTTAATGATAGCAGTTTTACAGACAAGATGGCCTGGCTCCTTGTCCGGTACCTAACACATAGTAAGAACTCAATGCATATGGATGACAGGGTGAAAAATTTAAACTGAAAGTTTAGTAAAATGGGAAAGAAAACCAAGAGGCATAGAAGAAGATTGTAGGTTGGTGAACACATCTAAAGTAACGGAGAAAATCTCTCATTTTTAAAATACAAATGCCATGAGGACACAGCCCAGTTTGTCTCATCCCAACAATAATTCTTACCTGCAGGGACCAGTCCATGCAAGTGACTACTCGGTGCTTGGACCAATGCTCATCGTAGAATTGACGATTGAAAGAAAGGTTGGCTCCAGCCTGGACATCCCTAGGAGGGTTTAAACATCAGAGACAAATGTGATGCTTCAGAAAGGGGCTTTATCTCTGCTGCTCATATGGAAAGAATGAAATGGCAAGAGCATGGCACTCGCTGAGGCCAAAGCATCAATTTACATAGCAAGCGCTGATCATAAATAAATGAACTAACAGTGGTGTCCTTTATGAAAAGTTTTCCCTAGCCTGGCCCAGAAAAGGTTTCCATGTGTTGTTTTAAACCTGGTATGAAATGTCAAATAATTATCTGGCTCTCACCTTGACCAGTCCCGAAAGCCTTTTCTTCCTCCTAACAAGTTCTATCTTGAAGCAGAGTTTACTAGAAATCTCCCAGCTATCAAGGGAGCAGAGCCCACTTGCAGATTCTTTGATATCAATACCACCTCATCTAGCCTTAGACCAGAGATTAGATACGCATGTTTCTATTTACCTGTAATATCTGAGTGGTTGTAGTGTTGCCTCCCTGCTCAATAGCAAGTGGTAAGTTTTATCATGAGACAGGCATAGTGGAGAGTGGGGGATTCACCAAAAGTAGTAGATACTTAACATAGACCAAAACATTATCTGGGCCCAGGAATACATTTTGGCCAGTGTTTGCTTGGCTGATACTCAACTGGCCACAAAACCTCCTTTGCAGAACCCTGCACTGGTCATGCATTTGCTCCACAAGACTGAGTGCAAATTGAGTAATGCTGCTTCTGTGCCAGTAGCTTTTGGACCTGCACAAAAAGCTACCTATATTTCTTTAGCATCAGTTCAAAAATTCCTCCACACTCACTTTCTTCTGTTCATTTGCTTCATCCCACTGCCTTGCACCCTGTATCACTTGTCTTATACAGCTCTTGTTCAGATGGTGACTTGGCTCCAGACTATTTACTTGGGCTCCAAATTGGCTGACTTAGGACTCTTTTTTCCTGCTAACCCTTCTTCAACTCCACCACTGCAAACTCAGGCAAGAGGTACGCACACACAAGTAACTGCCAGGCACCCAAAAGGAAACAGGACACAGAAAATCAACTGAGCCACAGAATAATGGCTTTTTCAAAGAACAAAAGCATCTCATAATGTGTATACGCAAACTATTACTGTCTCTTTGGAGTAGTCTAATGATGCTGTCAACTGCTTAGAATATTTTCAGAACCTCCTTTTGAAACTGCTTTTGGAGCCTCTGTTACATTCCCTTAAGCATCCTCAATGATGATACACTGTTCTTTGAGAATGTATTTGAATTCTAGAAACAGCAAAAAGCCAAGTCTGATGACTAAGGCAGGTGATCTCAACTTTTCATATTGTTGTTGGCCAAAAGAAATCAGTGGCTAGATTTATTTCTTATAAATTCTTATAAAGTGGCTAATAAACCTGGCTAGATTTATTTCTTATAAGCTCATAAAGTACCTTCCAGTATACCCACAGTGATGGTTGACGGCTGCTGCCTTTCACATTACATATGCTACATTTGGAGGATCATTTGCTTTTATTGATTAGTTTTTAGTTTATCTTTAAATGTATCCCTGCACAGGTGTTGCCTATAAGACACATACACATACTCATGGTATCAAAAAGAAGAAAAGGGTTGCAGTCTCTCTTAGCTGTTCCCCACATCAGTGAAGGGCTCCCATATCTCATGTTTATTTTGTTCAGCTTCCTGTTTGCTTAGACATCAAAAATAGATCTGCTGGATACAACACAAATCTCCTTTGCTGCTTATAAGAATGTTTTCTCAGAGGACAATGTACGTGACTCTGCCAGTCTCTATCACCTGGACTGTTCCCCAGATATCAAGTTCAAAAGCATTTCACGGAAGCACATGATAATTACAGGGAAACTCTAAGCCAGAAGTTATAACCAAAGCCCTTAGTCAAAGCTGTTCAGCAAGATCAACCCTGGAATTTCATCCTCCTCTGATTTGTTTGGTTTAAGATTTGCCTAGTCAATACATAAGTGAATTTAGAATCAACAATAATTTATCGCAGTATTTTTTTTAAAAGAACATGCACACAAGAAACTAACCCATCTTTTTCCTCTAACTCTCGACCGCTGTAGTCAAAGAAGATGTCAGAGTCTTCTGCTAGTGCTCTTTCAATTACCCGTATTGTCCGATCAAAAAAGATGAGAAATTCCTCTGAATGAAGGATCTGCTGTTTTTCTTCCTCTGTCAGCTCCCGTGGAGGGGCTTTTTAAGTAAAAGAGATTGTCAGGAAAGAAGAAAAGGACAATTAAAACATTTCAAGAGGAATCCAACTCTTGAAAGAGACTATTTACCAGAAAAGTGATCAGACAGTGAAACAAACCATTGTTAATATTGATTCTAAATAACTCCTAAATTCACACCAAAGGTTTTTATAGATGTTTCCCCTGATAATTACAAAAAAGATTTCATATCTAGACTAATTACTACTTTGAAGAGTTGAAAAAGATTACAAATGAAAATAAATTGGTGTTTTTAGCAATCAATTCTGAACGTTACTTTCTTTAAAACAGAACTTGAAAAACAGCTCAAAGAGTACATAATAGAAAAATCTGTAAAACTAAACATATTGCATACTACTATAAAGCTGCACATGTGAAATCACTAAGAAGTATCTATAATATCATCTGGGTAGCATCTTTCCTCTCTCTACTATATACATTCATTCTATTTTAGATGGTTAGTTGCTAAGGCCGGCTGACTGTTATATAGGTTCCATTCAAAAACTGAAACATGACCTTCCAAACCTGCTTTCACCTGAGATACCTTCTGCTTCTTTTAAAAAAAGGTTTTTTTAAACATTTATTTATTATTGAGAGACAGAGAGTGAGTAGAGGAGGGGCAGAGAGAGAGGGAGACACAGAATCTGAAACAGGCTCCAGGCTCTGAGCTGTCAGCACAGAGCCCGATGCAGGGCTCGAACTCACAAACCACGAGATCATGACCTGAGCCGAAGTCAGATGCTTAACCGACTGAGCGACCCAGGCTCCCCGATACCTTCTGCTTCTAAACAAACGTGGAACAAATAAACACTTCTAGAAGACACCTCAAAATAATTTTTATGCCTTTCTTTTCTAGCATGATTAATCTTACTGAACTAAATTTGAAGACATAAAATGAGAGAAAAGAGATTAAATAATTAGCAGTATGTCACAGTGTCTGAAAGTCAGCTAACCTCAGAGTCATGATTAGGTAACATAGACTGTTCCTTCAGTGGCAAGTTTACATAAAATGATAGAGAAAAGATTAGGAACTCCCCCAGACCGAACAGCCCTCAGAGGTAGAAACTGTCAGCTGAACTTCTGTGGTTCTTCAGAAACCCCAGGTCAACAACCTTGCAGAAAGCACTCAATACATGTTTGATGGCTTACTTTCTGTAGGACCAGATGGTCCTGGAATTTAAGTGACAGGAGGAGGGTAGTGCAATGCAATCAGTGTCGAGTTCCTAGAGGAGTCTCTCACCCACAGTCTTGCCCAACACTTCCGCTACCATCCCCATAACCATTTCTACCTGACCACTGGCTCAGAAAACCACGTAGGTGCAGTCAGTGGTAGCAGGTTTTATGCAACTTTTATTTGTTTCAATTACTAGCACCCCGAAGCCATTGTCCTGTGAAATCTGAACTGTCTGGAAGCCCTCCTGTAGACCCAAGGATCTCAAGCCTTTGATGTTCATAGTGTCTTCCCCCTTCCCACCTCCCCGTCCCTGACCCAGACCACAATGCAGGGCATCTGGCAGGTCTCCAGAATCTGTATATTTACAAGAAACTGGAATTATTATAATGCAGTTGGTTCACACCTTGAAAAATGCTCTCCGGACAATACTATAACGAAACATGATTCACCTACTAGAACAGACGATCATTTCACAAAACAGTTTACCCTGCAGTTTCTAGTAGCCCTGCATATAGTTAGATACATTTCTTTGCTGCTGAAGCCTCCAGGGCCCTTAATATGCCAATGTGTATTGGGACTCTCCAGGAACCTCCATCAATACCTGCTGAGCAGAGTTGCCCACATACTAGTTTGTGAAACGGTGAAACTGGCAATGTGTGGCTGTCAATAACAAGGACTCTACAAAACCAACCTGGAATCCAACATTGACTCTGCCCTTTGCTAACTTTGATTTTTTAATCAATTAAAGCTCTCGGAGTAGCAGTTTTATCTATAAAATGAGGTAATGATACCAAAACTTTAAGTCAAGCATTCAGTAACTGGTAATTGAGTAGTAATTTATTAGTCTACTTTCTAAAACTCCCATAAATGAGGCATTTGGATTTTTCACTCTTATGTAAGTTCAAGAAAATAGTAAAACTACTAAATGTAACCAGGCAAAAGGAGAAAAAAAAACCCAAAAAACTTTAGGTTCATGTTGTTTCGATAGTACTGTCACATAAATAAATAAACTTCACTAAACAAGGATACTATAGGGTCAAGAAGAATGTCTTATTCTAAAAGCCCATGTTCATATCTTAGTTACTATTGATGTATGACTTGAGACCCATCTGAAATTAAGCAGAGAAATGGTCATTTGTTTCTCCTTATCTTTTTTAAAAATAATATTAAAAGTATATAACCTACTCTCTGTTTATCTTTTTGAGTTACTTCTATTTCACCTGTATCTTTCCTTACAGGTCTATTACCTTGAATAAAAAGTAGTATCTGTGTAATTTTCTGTAATTTTTTCTTCCCTGTAGCTTATTGTCACTTTGATCTCAGCTTTCAAGACATACAACTTCTTCTCTAAGAGAAACATAAATGGCTGATCAAAGTGTATTTGCAGAGGCCAAGTTCAGGTAGGTGAAGCAGTAACCTCTCCAGATATTATATTTGACAATACAATATTTGGCTTGAAATTAAATTGCTACTGAAGCAAAACAAAGGATATATTTTATATTAAGCTTTGATGTCTAACAGGGATCAAATGACATGACTTGTTAGCATAAAATAATAAGATGCATGTACAGACAAGTACTTTTTGAAAGTCATAAACAATATTCAACTTAGGAATTAAATAATAGGGCTATAGTTATTTTTGATAAAAAATCCCAAACCTCCCATATTTAAAAATCTTTAAATTGATAAGTGTTGTTGCAATGTAATGAAAACATAATGGAGTATCCAGGAAACGCAACCAAAAGCTGTATTCAGAGATAAACCTCTCCAGACATCATATTTCATGAAAGAAAATTGGTTGATTAATGGAATCCGCAAGGTTCAAACTACAAGCACAAACAATTAGAATCAGAATTGTATTACTCCAGGGTAGACCCCAAATTCTCCCTGATATATCTGTTTCTGTAGCTTTTCCCTATCCCTGACCCCTAACGAATTATTTTCAACATGTTCACTGCATAAAAAGGTATTAATTAATGTAATAGCAAAAGACATATGAGAGCAAAATATATAATTTTTGGCATTGACAATCATTGGTTTTTCTTATTAAGTTAAGCAGAGCTATTATAGCAGGTTTGTTGTTTGTTTTTGCAACACAAAATGTAGAGTATTTCTGCCAAGAGTTAAAAATATTTTATGCATGTAAAGTGGCCTTTTTTTTCCTTAAAAAAAGAGAGATTCTTTATGAAAAGTCGAACGCATAGATAAAACTAACATATGATCCAAATGGAAAGACAGTTTTCATACTTGCCAAAATTTACCTGAACAGTTATATTTAGCTTGAATAACAGCTGTGAACACAATGTACTGAATTCATGAAATCTGAAGTTTAGAAGATGGTCTAAGTCTATGACTTCGTGGTTGCAAGATTAAAATCTAGTATACGTTTTATTTTAGAATCTTCTTTTTTTTATAATAGAAATGTTAATTTCTCTTAGTTTTGTAGATGAAAATATTTGTATATGTGTCTTTATGATGATTCTATCCTATTTGGTATGTTTTCTTTAGTTTTTTTTTATTGACGTTAATAGGTATTTTTCCATTTATTTCTTTAATTTATTTTATTTACTATATATCATATTTTTTGGTTTCAGGCTTGGGGGATTTTTTTCTCTGTAAATCTATACAATTCATAATGAAATTCACAATTTATATTGAGTACTTTACAATCTTTCCTTGAGTTCAAGAGCTATTTTACAAAAATATTCATTTCAGAAATGTCTTGCTTTGTTTAAAAGATACAGCTTTGATTTTCAGTATGAAAAATTAAATCTTTTAAATATTCTTCAAGAATATATGTAAAAGACAAAAAATAAAGAAGTAAATTCCCACATAGCTTAAATATTAGACCCAATTAAATAGGGACAGTGGCTCTTAAGGGATTTTACTGTGAGATCATTGCATAAATATGAGCAAGAAAACCAAACCAAGCTAATAAAGAAGGATATCCTCCTCTGAAGTTAATGTGAGGTTTATGAGTTAATGTGCATTTACAAGAGCTAGGTCTGATTCTCTTGTTTTAAATCTCTAAACATGAAGATCCCTGAACACTTACATATAGAAATTTCCTAAAATTTGATTAAAAGCTAACATGTACCTGCTGTTTTCTCTACTCCATTGTGGAAAAATGGAGTGAAAACAGTAAAATATCAAACCCTTATTTCTTTACTGCTTAGTGCATTTTGATATCATATGGGCAAAAATGTCAAAAGCTAGTGAGCACTGTTTTTTTTTTCCCATCTCCTGTTCACCGTTTTTTTTTTTTTTTTTTAACTCCAAAAAAGGCTAGATTTCTCAAAAATGTGCTCCCTGGTTTGAAACCGTGGATGTCAAGTTTCAGCCCAGAGCAAATTTTTATGGCTGAGTAATAAATCCCTGAAACTCAAGGTTCGTAAGGGAAGTGCTGACACAGCCCTAACTACTATGCAGCCGTGTGAATGGCGCCACGATTATATCTGCTAGAGATTCTTTAAAAAGTTTGCAAAATACTGTCTTGCTTAAAAAAAAAAAAAAAAAGCCAGAGAGAGTCTGATGCCAACATAAACATGCTTTTAACCCATTATGTGCTAATTTGCAGAAAAGCCATTAATAGAGAAAAAGGCACACAGAGCAGCAGTACAGGAAATGTACTTCAAACTCCTTTTTGACTTTTAACAGGACTTTAATCAATTCCATGAAGCATGAGTAACAGTTAAAACTGGAGGGTGTTTTTGTTCAGAACTTAAGAAGGGGGTTGCAGTGCTTTGCCAGAGAAGACAATTTGGGGATTGGGGTGGGGGTAGGAGGGAATCTGTGCCAAGACACACACAAGACACCTTGGCTCCTTATCACCCAGAATAGCTTAAGGATGTTTTGCAAGAGGAAAAACCTTTTATTTGTTTATTTTAATAAATCCTGAGTTGGTTTGTCTCTTGCTATACCTGTGTTAAAAAAAAGTTCTTACAATTTGAGGTAAAATCTCTCCAATCAAATGCATTTAGACTCTCTCAGAAAAAATAACTCTCATGCCTTCTGTGGATGCCACTGTTAAAGATGCTGAATCTATTCCCTGCCTTTAGTCGTAGCCCAGAACTTGACAGTAATCAAAATCATTCAATGCCTGAGCCGGCTGAAGTGAGTACATATGATCAATGTGTACCCATTCCTATAAAAGTCCCCAGCGACAACGGTGTGCCACATACTATGCTGGAGCCACAGGCATCTTTAATTTAATTTTTTTCTTTATTTCAGAGAGAGAGAAAGAGAGAGAGCGTGAGTGGGGAAGAGGGGCAAAGGGAGAGAGGTAGAGGACCTTAAGCAGGCTCTATGCTCAGCACAGAGCCTGGAGCAGGGCTGGACCCCACCACCTCTGGGATCATGACCTGAGTCGAAATCAAAAGTCAGATGTTCCACCGACTGAGCCACCCAGGTGCCCATCACAGGCATCTTTAAAATTTAAAAATCAAATGAACTTATTTTTTTTTAAATTTTTTAATGTTTATTTTTTGAGAAAGAGAGAGAGAGAGAGTTTGAGCAGGGGAGGGGCAGAGAGAGAGAGGGAGACACAGAATCCGAAGCAGGCTCCAGTCTCCGAGCTGTCAGCACAGAGCCCGATGTGGGGCTCGAACTCACAAGCTGTGAGATCATGACCTGAGCCAAAGTCAGACGCTTAACTGACTGAGCCACCCAGGCGCCCCTCAAATGAACTTCTAATGAAACTTCTGTTGGTCTATATTTGGGACTTAGCAGGGAATATGGAAGTATCTTTTAATTTTTTAATAATGTATATTTATTTTTGAAAGAGAGAGACAGACTGCAAGTGGGGCAGGAGGAGACACAGAATCTGAAACAGGGTCGAGGCTCCCAGCTGTCAGCATGGAGCCCAACATGGGGCTCAAACCCACAAATCACAAGATCATGACCGAAGTCTGATGCTTAACCGACTGAGCCACCCAGGCGCCCCTGGAAAAATCTTTTAAATATGCACTCTGTATTCAGACATACTTCGTTTGTCAGTAAGAATGACGATTTCAAAATTCTTTTATCTCCATGGGCTAAGAATTTCACAGGGATACAAAATTAGATTTTTAAGGATAGAGCACCCGGAGGATTGATTGCCTTCCCTTTTCTTTTTTCTCTCTTGCTTTTGACACCCAGTGCTATGTCAGGATGATACCATCATGATAAAAGGTATAGTCTTTGGTGTCAACGGCAAATCCTGCTCATGCACTTCTACAATGTGTGTCCTTGGGTAAGTTTTTAGACCTCTCTCTTCCTGGTTCTCCATCTATAAGGTAAGAATAATAATAGTATCTGCTTCAAAAGGATGTTCTGAGATGTAGATAATACCTGTAAAGGGCACAGGAGAAAGCTGAGTACACGGGAAGCCCTTAATAAATGCTCATCATTATTATCACTGAAACATGGAAAGTTTCGCTCTTCATACAGGCAGAGCTATGGAAGCACACTTTGAACAGTAGAGTTAATAGTAATGATCATTGCTAATATTTCTGTGTAGATCACATGAATAAACTTCAGAATTTATTAACAAAATAATTATATCTGCTTCTTCCCTTTACTGTTATCATTCAGAATATCCGATGCGGTGCACTAGGTAACATGACAATTGATAACAATTATCTTATGTTTTCACTCTTTAGTAATAATTTTACTGAATTGTGACTGGACTTGTTGCTGGAATTGTGGCTAGCTTGCATTTTATTTACTTCTTTCTCTCGCACATGAGAAAGTGGCAGAGAAAGAGGGAAGGAGGGAGAGAGAGAGGGAGGGAGAGAGACAGAGAGAGAGAGAGAGAGAGAGGGAGGGAGAGAGAGAGAGAATCCTAAACAGGCTCCAGACTCAGCACAAAGCCTGATGCAGGGCTCAATCTCATGACCATGAGATCATGACCTGAGCTGAAATCAAGAGTCAGATGCTTAACCCACTGAATCACCCAAGCACCCCTCTATTTTATTTACTTCTATCAGTCAAAAAATAGATGACTCTTGCTTTGGGGATTACAGTTTATGGTGCTAAATGTAATGTGCTGAAAACCTTCTACATAGGGAGTATGCGTTTAATTTTTACTTACCAGGATAGCCCCTAAGTTGTTAAAAAAAACAACAATAACAATAAATTGATGACTAATTTACCTCCCATACCATACCTTCTTTCACCTCCTGTTTTTGGTCTTGGTTTTCCAGTTCTGAATCATGGCCAACTTTAGGTTCTACCATTTCCTCATCTTCCTCATCCTCTAGAAGAAAGAAAGAGAAAAATGCATTATTTTCTTTCCTTCAAATCAAAGCCTTTGGTTGATGGTGGGAGGTAGGGCCAAAGGGTAAAGTTCCAATCATTTAGGGCAACTTCTAAGTAAATCAGTCCTCAATGAATGCCCAAGATATATGTTCATGAATATATGAATAAATTATCTCCAAAAGGGGCCTCTTTGAAAGTCCCCCAAGCTGCTGAGAAAACCACCCGAGTCGGCACCTGCTAACATCCATCTCCAGGCCCTCACCACATGGGATGTCTTGGAATTGCCTCTCTGACCTCTGAAGCTTCTTCAGAGATGACCCAGGAACAGATCTCAAAATGTTTCCACCTGGGGCACATTCTCCACAGGGAACACCTGCTGTACAGACGACTCATTTCCAATTTAATTCTCACCAAATTAATTTGTTTTTGACCTACAGGAAAGGGTTAAATACAGGTCTGACCCCAGGTCAAATGCCATTGGCAAGTAAACAACCAGGGGGTAGAGTCCCAAAAGTCACTGCCATTGGCCTGGGAGAAAGCAACCAACCTGAAATCGCATTTACACATTCAGAGCAGCTCATGCATTAATGTGAATTTAATGAGCACCAACAAATGGACCCAGTCTGCTACCACTGCCAGATGTTATAGTGCCCTTCCTGCCCTATGCAAATGTGTGCTCGTTCTGTCTGCTCTCAACCTGCCTTTCTTAGAGGCCCCTTTCATTATAGAGTGCTTGAAATCATCAGCCACAAAGTAGAAGATGTAGGGGGGAGTCAAGGTGTCACAAGAAAATCCAGTGTAGAGAAATAAAATAATACAAAAAATTAAAACTTGCTTTCACAGTTTAAAAAATATATTGTCTTCTCTCTTAAGCATAATATTCACTGTAGGTTATTTATTTCATTGGTTCAGATGGAATTTAAAAGAAATGATTTCACTTCCTCCCCTGCCCCTACATTCATTCATATATTCATTCATCCATCAAATATTTACAGACTTTCTGTAAGATCTCAAGCTCTATGGATAGTCTCATTTCCATCATAATAAATCCTGAGATTTACATCAACTAAAAATTTCAGCCCCAACCACTTAGGGAATGCATTATAAATGCATACCTAAATGCCCAAATAAATATCTGCAGCCTGAAAAGCAACTCCAAAAGTCTGACTACATTAAGCAAGTGATCTGGGGAAGAAATATCAACTTTAAAAATTTGAACATATAAAGTGTAGCATTGCAATTTAGATATTAAAAAAATTTTAATGTAAATTTTCATTGAAATACAATACTCTAAGTGCATATGTATATACTGTGGAACCAACCTCATTACTTTATAACCACACTATAAACATATCAGAAAGAACGTAGAACACTTTTAAGGAAAATGGTCATTTATTAGTAACACATTTACCATCAGTACATTATTTCTAATACATACCTAAGAGGTAAAGAGTTGCACTTGGAATTTTGAAAAGAACACTGAGTTACTCTGATTTTTAGACAAATAAACCCTTAAAGTGTTGTTATAAGCAGCACATTTAAGTCCTTATCCATATATAAAGATATTACTGCTATCTACCCATTAACAACCTGCTTGAAAAGTCGTGAACCGGGGCGCCTGGGTGGCGCAGTCGGTTAAGCGTCCGACTTCAGCCAGGTCACGATCTCGCGGTCCGTGAGTTCGAGCCCCGCATCAGGCTCTGGGCTGATGGCTCGGAGCCTGGAGCCTGCTTCTGATTCTGTGTCTCCCTCTCTCTCTGCCCCTCCCCTGTTCATGCTCTGTCTCTCTCTGTCCCAAAAATAAAGTAAAAAACGTTGAAAAAAAATTTTTTTTAAAAAAGAAAAGTCGTGAACCTGCACATCATGTATCCTGATCCAAAGACCTGACACAAAACCTTAGGAGGTACTAGCCTCCTCTTCTGGTAAACCTGGGATGGAGAGGCAATCTTCAAAAGTCCACTAATCTGCTAGTAAGTGGCTCTATTTCTGAACCTTCTAGAGACATTTATTACTTTTTTAAAGTTTTAAAAAATTTATTTAAATTCAAGTTAGTTAACATACAGTGTAGTCTTGGTTGCAGAAGTAGAACCCAGTGATTCATCACTTACATATAACACCCCGTGTCCATCCCAACAAGTGCCCTCCTTAATGCCCGTCACACATTTGACTCATCCCCCCATCCTCCTCCCCCTCCAACAACCCTGTTTGCTCTCTGTATTGAAGAGTAGAGACATTTCTTTAAACTTACTGGATTTAGCAGCAATGCCCTGACACTTACAAAATGCAAGTAAATACAACAAATACAAAACTGATAGGGCATGTATTATGAATTGAGTCCTGTTTTGCCCTCCCCCCAACCAAATATTTGTATGTTGAGGTTCTAACGCTTAGCATCTCAGAATGTGACTTTATTTGAAAATAGGATCATTGAAGATATATTTAGTTAAGATGAGATCAGACTGGAGTAGGTGGGCACCTAATCCAATATTATAAAAAGGAGAAATTTAGACATGGGCACACATAGGGAGAATGCCAGGGGAAGCTGAAAAAGACTGGGGTGATGTTTCTACCAGCTAAAGAATGCCAAAGATTGTTAGCACACAACCAGAAACTAGGGACAAGGCACAGAACAGATTTTTCCTCACAGCCGTCAGAAGGAGCCAACCATGTCAACACCTTGATCTCAGAATCACCTGGCCTCCAAAACTGAGACATTCCATTTCTACTGCTTAAACCACCCAGAATTGTAGTACTTTGTAACAGCAGCCTGAGCAAATTAATACAGCCAGTAGAGTGCCCTGCTTTCTATGACCCTATAAGGTAGTGGAAGAGATACAGGACATATACCATAATAACACCTAAGGCAAGGACGTAAAATCTAATTTATTTACCAGAACTTGGTACCATCAGTCTAATAGATGAAGAGATAGATTAATCTCCCCCAAAGAAACTCACAACCACATCAAATTTTCAAGTTTTGTCTGGTTCTGCCTGTTTTCAGATCTACGATCTGTAACCATCAGGCATACTGCCTCCTTCGTCAGAGCATGATGTGAAATAGAAAGGCCTTGCGGAAAGGCCTAAAGTAGAAGCTCAGTTGCAGTGTAAGGACAGGCTTGGAGAGGCTCTTCGAGGTGGATATGGCGTGGCCTCCATAAGAATGGCTCTTCTGCTTCTAAGAGGCAAGTACACACAAGGCTCAGCTGAGGAGAAGTTAGGTTTCACATTCTGGACAGCTATATATGATGGGCTGTCTTATTTATTAAGTATACATATGCTGCATCCACATTCTATTCACATTCTCATGTTGGAATCCACTGCCCTGAGACCAGACTGTCAATGCCTACCACAAAGCATTAGTTCCTCTGGCTGAACAGATTCACAAGTTGGGCAGGGATCAGCACATCAAAGGAAGTAATTGATCTGGGTCTGAGCCTGGAGTCTACATCTTGCCAGCCCCTTGATTTTACATAATTCATAGAAACTCTTGGAGGCCCTGTTTCTTCATCTGCTGAATTGGGATAATAATCCTTTCCTAAAATCCAGTGTTGTTGTAAGAATAACCAAATTAAATAATTGATCTGAACTTTCTTTTTAAACCAAGAGAGTTGGGGATACCTGTACACAGAAACCTCCAAACAAATGTTGCATTAGCTTGCATATCAACCAAACATTTATTGAGCACTTACTATGTACCAGGTGCTGGGAATATGAGAAGGAATAAGACAGACAAAAAAAATCCCTGTGCTCATGGAGCTTCATTTGAGGTAGGGGAGAAAAACAACAAACAAATAAACAAAATATATATTATATCTGATAAATGTTGTGGGGGAAATAGAAAGCCAGAAAGGGAGACTGGGCATGCTGGTAAGGGGAGGAAGAGTTGAAATTTAAAATAGAGTCATCAGAAAAGGCCACACTGAGGTGACATTTGAGCAAAAAGTTCAAGGAGTCAAGGGAGTGAGCCGTGTGAAGATCTTGGAGAAGACCAGTAACAACAGATTCTTCCATCTTATTCTGTGGACCCAGGGGTTTAATGGGTCACGGTTTAAATTAATTTATTATCAGTTCCGTTGACTATAGAAAATAGCTGTGCTTTCATTAGAGCCATCTGTTTGTACATTCCCATCTTCTAGTTCTTAAAATGAAGTCGGTTTCCCCAAATGACTCGGGTTAGTATCACATTGTATCAAATTCTTGGGGCACCTGAGTGGCTCAGTTAAGCAAAGAACTCTTGATTCCAGCTCTGCGCTGACAGCATGGAGCCTGCTTGAGATTCTCTCTCTCTCTCTCTCTCTCTCTCTCTCTCTCTCTGTCTCTGCTCCTCCCCCATTCATATACTTTCTCTCTCTCAAAAGTAAGTAAATAAACATTTAAAAAATAGTACCAAATTCTCATCTTTCACAGCTATAAAGGTCTTTATTTTCAACATTAGTTCCTGGAAGAGTCAAAATGCAACATTGTGACGGAAAGTGTTCTATAAGGGCTTGGCTCTAAAAAGGGCTAGGTTTGTGATAGCAATGTGTAGGTTTATACACAAAGTATGCAGGAAAATCACAGGTTATCTAATTATTTAAATAGAAAATTCTTCCCCAGAGAATGTTTTTGATGAATGTAAGAAAACCAAATACTTACAGTGTTTATAATACGTGCAAAGTCCTACAATGAAATACTGTGAATAATAGAAAAACAAATAAAAAAATAATATCTGACCTTTTAAAGTGGTTAAAAACCAGTTTCAGGCATTAATTTTTTAGTGGCCACAGAATTCTTTGTCTTTCAGCCTTTTAAAGACACAAAGCAAGTGTTTCAGTGGATTTGTTAAGGAAATAAAACACAAGAGACTGGTTCGTTTCTCTGCATACTGATATGTTTGCCTTGCTCAGCAAAGAGAGTGTATTTTTCTTTAAGACTCTGGTTTCCTTTCTGGTGCAATTGGAATTACTTCTGTTGAAACCATTTTCAAAACAGTTAAATAACTTTAAAGAAAAGGATTTA